CCTTTCTTCGACAGAGCACCCGTGAGTCATGTCAAACTGTCATTCTATTTTTGTTGAAAGGCTTAAGTCTAAACAACGTTTACAATTCCTTCGATTTTTTTATGGAAATTCACCTTCTGTAAAGAATGTGTCTCGTGTGCGTCGCTCAACTCAAGGTCGTTCGCAGCAACTCGGACTGACGTATGGAACGACTTGGCTCATTTTGTTTTCAGATATTAAATTGAAAGCGTACAAAATATAGCTTGTGCAAGAGTCCTTGCAACGCTTTATGGGATCTTAAAAAGTTCCAAGAAGATCCAACGCTTTTGAGCCATACTTCGTTTAGCGATGAGGACCATTTCTGGCTTAATGGGTTTCTAAGCAAAATTACCGTATTTCGGACCAAGGATATTCTGAAGAGATTCAAGAGCTGTCGTTGCATTAAGCAGTTTGTGGGCCCGTTGAATCATTAGTCCATAACTCTTCAAAAATGTCGTTGAGAATGAGACTGTCAATGTCTCATCCGTTATTGCGCCATGATAACCGACTAGTGGACGCCTGAAATTTAAGCTGGATCTGGCTGATCTCGGAAATATTTGGTTTCAACAAAACGGCGCCACTTCTCACACATCGCAACAATCATTGTCTTTGAGAATACTCTTTGTTGAATAGATAATTTCATTTTTTGAACAGGTCGATTGGCCATCAAGATCGTATGATAACACATCGTTAGACCTTCTCTTGTGGGGATATGTAAAGTCTAAAGTTTATGCGGACAATCCCGCTTCGAAACAGGCCGTGAAGCATTGGCCAGTTACCATTCAAAATGAGTCATCGAAAATTGGACTCAATAGATGGACCATCTGAAATGTAGACGCAGCCAAAATTTAAAAAAAATAATCGTCATAAATAAATACCAAAGAATCTTCTTTAAAATGATAACAAACATTTCCTATTAAATTTGACGTTTCTGTGCGTTCTTTTTTTTTTCTTTAAAAAAAGTGGGGAACTTTAAAATGCATCACCCTTTATAGAATAGTCACTAATATATTGTTTTTAGAAGTAAGTGTTCTGGTTTTATATGTGATAAATGATTTAGAGAAAATGTATATTTAGTTAAAGAATTTTGAATTTCAACTCACACTTTACTTACTTTCTTTATCTGAAAATTTCAACAAATGAAATGTTTTATCTCTCTCACAACAGCGCACAAATGTTAAATTCGAATGCAAACCTCGAATTTTTTAATTTACGTCAATTTAGTATTAATAAATATGAAATAGTTGAGAGTGAATAGGGAAATAAGAAAATTAAGAATAAGCAAAATGCAGATACCCTCCACATCTGTCAAAAAATTCTCATTTCCATAACCCTTTTGTCGGCATACATTTCGATATCTTCAATGGATATTGTTATTTGACACGAAATGAGCGCATAATTCAACCGAACTCCGAACCCCGAAATTGGTAGTGACACTTCGTCATTAAGTGTAGCAGACGCTGACACGATAATTTAACAAAGCCTCTAACAGTGAGTCAGTGGCGCGTTTTCCACGGCACACACACATACAGACAGACACTTATGTTTAGTGTTGTTGTTGCAGCAGAGAAAGGAGTGGGCCGACAAAAGAGAAATGATAATAAATAGTGAAATGCCATTCATTATATCATTGTAAGTGTCAACTGTCACTTAGCATATCCTTTCGCTGTGAACCGAGTGTGTCGTTGACACCCACTGGGGAGTCTGCCACAAGCAGACAACAAGCAAACGGCCCGCAAAACAACAATCCGTGATGGTGATGCCGGTTCAAACTACACTCATGTATGTTTATGTATGTATGTATGAATGTATATCTAAGAGAGATATATGTATATGTATATGTATATGTATATGTGTGTATGTATGCGCGTGTGATTATTTGTGGTTTCGTATCGCTGCGACAATTTATTGATGCGCCGCTTTCCGAGAAGGTCAAGCAGATATTTGAAAATTTATGCTAGCATTACCATGAATGTCATACCAATCAAGCAAACAACTACAGTAACAACAACAAAGCCGAACAAACAAACACTCAAGCGACTCATTTACAAGCCACAATGTTTGCACGCATTTGTTATTGTATGCCGGCATGCGTGTTGCACCGCCTTTGCAATCATCTGCATATGAATATATGTGTGTAACACCGCCAATTGATCACTTGCACCGCCTTCGAAGCGATGACTCACTTCATTGACGCGCAAATGCTTGAATTTATGTAAATATATATCTCTCTCCCTCTGTGTGTGTGTTGGCGATACGGTAGATACATATATGTAGATATATAAGCATAGAACTGCCGCAGGATGGCTTGACTCATTAGCTTATTCATTAGTTCACTTTGCGCATGCTCAAGGCCCGTCTCACTACTGACAACACTGTAATTATTTTTATGTTTACACACTTCAGGGTGGTTCTTGAATGTGGCGAGGACACAAAAAAAAAAAACAAAAAACAAAACAAAAAACAACATTTACCGCGGCTACACGGCCGTTGTAGTAACCTTAACAGGTGCATATAAAGGGTGCTCCACTTCAAGGTTCCAAGAAAATACAGAAACTTCAAATTTAATGGGGAATGTTTATTATCATTCGACAGGCATTTATTTTTTTAAGTTTTTCTCTTGGCCGCGGCTACGTCTTAAATGGTCCATCCCCTGAATACAAATTTCAATGACTCGATCGAGTATAATCGACTCATAACTGACCCCCCCCTGAATCAAAGCGGGATTGTCCACATAGACTTTAGAATTTAAGTATCCCCACAGGAAAAAGTCTGTTGGTGTGACACCACACGATCTTGGTGACCGGCCAAAAACATGAAATTATCTGCTCACCGTAGAGTTCTCTCAATAAATCCGTTATTTAATGTGATGTGTAGGAAGTGGCCCCCGTCTTATTAAAATATGAGATATCCTCAAAATCGCGAGCTTTCGTATTTCTTGGCTCCATAAGAAGGTTAAGTTCGAAGATGGGCAAAATCGGCCCACTGCCACGCCCACAAAATAGAGTCGTCAATAGAGTCGTTTCTTTTAGGCATTTCCATATACAGTTCAAAAATGGAAAGAATCGGATAATAACCACGCCCACCTACAAAGGAAGAAATGTCAGAAGGAAGCTGCATCCAGGGTTTTTTTTTTACATTGAAAATGGACCAAAAACCATATCTCAGGAAGTACTCAACCGATTTCAATGAAATTCGGTATATAATATTTTCTTAACACCCTGATGACATGTACCAAATATGGGTGAAATCGGTTCACAACCACTTCTGAAATCTCGATTATCACTTTATCATGCGAGAGTATAAAATGTTTGGTAACACCCGAACTTAGCCCTTCCTTACAATCCGACAATTTTGCTTAATTACTTACCCATTGAGCTAGAAATGGGGCTCAACGCTGAACAAAAATTGACTCCAAAACGTCACATCTTCTTGGAACTTTTCAAAAGCCCATAAAGCGAAGCGTTGTCTTTCAATTTAAGGTCTCGCCCAATTCGTTTCATACGTCTGTCGAAATTGCTGCGAACGGCGCCGAATCGGCTCTCCACAGTCATCGTGTACACTCTCAGCTACCGCTCCTATATTTTCTTCACTGCGGCTGCACGTGGTCTGTTCGGTCAAATATTATCCAATAATGAATACTGGGTCTCAAAGTGTGTTATGGTGTTGCGAATGGTATGCTCAGTAGGCCGATTGTATTGACCACAAGTTATGCGAAGCGCACGAAAGACACTCTTTACAGAACGTGAATTTTCGTAATAAAGTTGATCAATTTGTAAAATTGCCTATATTTGGATCACCCGTCACATCCTGTAGTTGTTCAATATCGGGGGTTCTGATTTAGAATGTCTACCATTATAAACGACGAGATTTTGACAGCTCATTTTCGTCAGCAAGCAAAATTCTCACTGGTCTGGTTCAGGAAATGCAATTGCGTCCCTCAAAAATTCACCGTTTGGTGCGGATTGTGGTAAGGGGGCATAATCGGCCATTATTTCTTTCGACATGAGGCAGGAAATACCAATACCATCAATAGCGACAGTTACAACGTGATGTTGACCGGCTTTTTTAGCCGGTACGCCACCTCATGTTTCAGGTGTAAACAAGGACACATTGCGTGCAGAGTTTGGCAGCTCGTTAATTTCGAGAAATGTCTTGTGCAAATGGCAAGCACTTTAAATCCGATGGAATATATTTAATCTTAGCATTGTAAGTCAAAGGCGTATGCCAATCAAAGCTTGAGAATCTCGGAGGTAACATTCAGCTGCACCGAATCATCGAAAAGTTGCGTAAATGGGTTGATATTTGTAAACGGAGCATTGAGGGTCACTTGACCAACTTATTCCAAATCATAAATGATATAAAATTATGTGTATAACAAAAGCAACCATAACCCATTAATGTTTAATTTCATTTTAACCTCATGTCCTTCTTATCGGTAGACCTTTTACAAAGCGAAGGGTAGACGGAGAGACATACGGAAATGGCTAAATCGGCTTAGCTCTTTACGCTGAATATTTGATAAATTCCTAAACATATTTTATAAGGTCTACGACATTTTCTTCACAGTGTTCCAAGTAAAGAAAGGCTATCACATTTTATGAAGATAGCTGAGTATATTCAAAATCAGAATTTTTGCCATTTCAAATTGAAAATCTACCTATTTGAGAGACGCAGACATTTTATACATACGTATACTTATATTTCGATTTAAATCCATGAATATAACGAAATATTCATATTCGGGACGATTGCATGGCGTTTGTTTGCAAAATTATGTGATCAGCTGTTTCAACTTGATCGTCGAGTTGCTCCACGACTTAAATGAAAAAACTGATATCAAGACAGAGTTCGTGTGCGAAAAGTGAGGGTGTGGTAATGGAAAAGGGTGAGCGTATTGCAACATGAAAGCGTTTTCTTAATCGTGTATCTTCGGGTTAAGAATTTTGTCTCATATACTTGTAGTATATGCTCTCGCTTACCTCGATTTCCGCCTCAGGTAGCTGCAAAAAAAAAGTAAAGAACAAAAATGTTTAATCAATTCTCATGTATAGATATACTAAAAATAGATATATGGTATTTAAAATTTATTTTTGCAAAAACAAAGCTGTCGGGCTCTACACATTATTGTACCGACAAACGAAGCACAAAACAATAACCGTCTGGCAGATATTCCATTCATTAAATGCATTGATTTAACATAAATAATTAAACAAGTGTTAAACAGAAACCATTTGTTCCGCGAGGTTTCTTCAAGTATATAACATGGTAGGAAATTAACCGAAGACATCAGTTGAGTTCCACACTCGCAGTCAAAAAAAGCAAACAGTTCGAAAAATTGGACGAAAAATGCCCAGGAATTTATTTACACTCCGTAAGTTCAAGAATCTTTCAATCCGACTCTTTATTAATATGTGTATACGTTTTTCAGTTTTCGGAGCTACGCTTTTAGTCGTCCTAATAATGATGGCTCAAGCTCAGCCCGATCCAGAAGCCCAAACCGTAGATCCAGCACCACCTACCAGGCGTCCTACACCACCTACTCGGCGACCAACTCCACCAACCAGGCGACCCTCACCACCTACCCGGCGACCAACTCCACCAACTAGGCGTCCATCACCACCTACTAGGCGTCCATCACCACCTACTAGACGTCCAACACCACCTACCAGGCGTCCAACTCCACCAACTAGGCGTCCAACACCACCTACCAGGCGACCAACACCCCCCACTAGGCGTCCATCACCACCTACTAGACGTCCAACACCACCTACCAGGCGACCAACACCCCCAACTAGACGTCCAACACCACCTACTAGGCGTCCAACACCCCCCACTAGGCGTCCAACACCCCCCACCAGGCGTCCAACACCTCGACCAACAGCATCCACGACGCCTGCATAGATTGGGCCAATAATAAATGGGCTAACGTCCGTGTAAATGCAAGGACCTATAAGGAATCGATTGCCTAACAATGACGCATTAAATTTTTGGAATCATTTAACTGATTAAGAAAGTATTTTCAAATTTTATAAGATTTAGAGACATTTGTTTAAATAAAATTAAAAATTATTCTTTCAAAATAATATGTATTTTACTCTTGTTTTGAATGTCGTGATTTCGAACCTATATTTTTGGTTTAACTATATTTCTTGACGGTTAAATTAAATTTAATAAATTATTATATATAATAAGGAACCCGTCTGTTATACTTAGTGCTGAAACTTTCATTTAACTTTAACCTTAATAGGTGTAGTGATGACTACAGTGCGATTTTTTTAGTTCGTCCGTTCTCCAAAGATAATACTTTGTCTAACGTCAAGTTGGCTTTTAATCTTTGGAAGATGGAGTCATGTGTAGAAGTTCACGCAAGTGAGGAAAGTTCTCTGATCGTCATTCACTTGGGAATGGCCAGAAACGATTCTTTTACATATAACGCAAGCAGCTCACGACTTCCTGTCCGTGACCAAGTATCCTCTGGGTAGCCTAAGAACATCCGTTTGAAGGCGAGCTAAAGTGAGGAGACGAAATATTCCCTGCATAGGGTTGTGCGCTGGGTTTGGGACCCGCCACGTAAAAAAACCACCCCAATGAAAACGCAACAAGAGCCTCGGATGAGAGCCTCTGCGGAAGAAAAGTTGAAACTTGAACTAATGCCTCAGTTATCTACGTGTATAAAACTTCAGCTAAAATGTCCTATCTTATGATAGCACCATATAGATTGAATTTTATATTTTATAAGAAAACAAAAAAATTTAAATATTTATGGAATTCTCAATCGGTCGTTAATAGTTGAAGAATAAGAAATACAACAGCTTGAGTGGTTAAGAATACTAAGGAGGAAATAAAATATTTTTTAAATTTCTAACAGATGAGTAATTCTTTCGGTCTTAATGTCTACGATTTTTTGTTGGACCACCTTAAAGTACTTATATGTATCATTATATCAGCTAGTAAAACATATCGAGAGAATTACAGGAGCTCGAAATATAAGTGCTATATATTTTAAATCAATACAATTAATACCTTGTAAGCCTCATTACTTATCTTCCTCAGAAGACAATGCTAACTAATCGCATATAGAAAGCATAGATTACATGCTTTTTTCTTATATTTCTGAGAATGCATGCATTGTATGTCCTATGTGTATTCACTACAAAAAATTCCAGTAGCCAGTTCAAAAACACGCCATGGAAGATTAGAAGCTGAAAAGTAAGCTGCTTGAAAAACAATCGGAATCGGATCAAAATTATACGCCAAGAAAGGAATATGAAAGCGATACATTCAAATATATGTATGTAGCAGTATATGTACATATGTAACATATACTTGTATTTATGTACAAAATCCAAAGAGATTGTAATCAGTTTGGAATGTGTGGAATTTGCTAGGGCTTACCTATGAACTCACACATACCGAAATACCCACAAATATAAACACTGTTGTTGCTTTAGATGTCCAAACTCAGAAAAAAACTGAATTCCTAATTTTATTTCTCACTTTCAAATTTTATTTCCGCTTTTTCATCTAATTTTCGCTCCCAACCAACATAGTTGTGGCATGACTCACGTGTATTCCAGCCTTTCAATGCAATAAAAGCGCATTCTGATGACCATTCAGAGCTCCATTCATCTGGATAGACAACATACACACACACAAGCACACAGTTATAGATGCCGTGTAATCACAATTTGGTTGATTTGACTGTGAGCGCTAATTTTCCGATAAACACGTTAACTTGCCGCAGCATCATCGTCTTAACAATGAGAAGAATGTGAAAGAAAGTGAAGATTATGTTGATTTGTGTTGGAAAGTGAACGTTCGTTGTTGTATTCTAGTCGTTTTCATAGTTGCATAAGCAACAAGACTGAGTCATAAGAAAAGTGAACGCTCTTCAGGAATGTGGTAGAAAACGAGGTTAGAATGCTGGGCGATATCGATGTGCTGTGCAATAGAATTGTTATTGTACTCGTATGAGGTATATTGTGAAGATCTTCGAATTTTATTAGCGGTTTCAATGAAGTTAATAGGTGTAAATATATGAATTAGTGAAATCAGTTTAATATGCTCAAAATTAGCCTCATGTTATTCATTATTTTTCTAATTCTAGCTAAGAACTCTAGTCTATTAAAAGAGAAACGGAGTCTAACCATTTTCTTGTTTTATAAAGTTTCACGATTTTAAAAGACCAGAAGAAATCCAATTCTTTAGTATTTTGGCTTCTTTAGGTTTCCGTTGTATTGACCATTCTCAAATCTGTGGAATCTCCACTTAATCCCTATTATTATACTATCGCAACAAAGTTGCTAAAGAGAGTATTATAGTTTTGTTCACATAACGGTTGTTTGTAAGTCCTAAAACTAAAAGAGTCAGATATAGGGTTATATATACCAAAGTGATCAGGGTGACGAGTAGAGTTGAAATCCGGATGTCTGTCTGTCCGTCCGTCCGTCTGTCCGTCTGTCCGTCCGTCCGTGCAAGCTGTAACTTGAGTAAAAATTGAGATATCATGATGAAACTTGGTACACGTATTTCTTGGCTCCATAAGAAGGTTAAGTTCGAAGATGGGCAAAATCGACCCACTGTCACGCCCAGAAAATGGCGGAAACCGAAAACCTATAAAATGTCATAACTAAGCCGTAAATAAAGATATTAAAATGAAATTTAGCACAAAGGATCGCACTAGGGAGGGGCATATTTGGACGTAATTTTTTTGGAACAGTGGGTGTGGCCCCGGCCCCTACTAACTTTTTTGTACATATCTCGAAAACTACTATAGCTATATAAACCAAACTGTATAGAGTCGTTTCTTTTAGGCATTTCCATATACAGTTCAAAAATGGAAGAAGTCGGACAATAACCACGCGCACCTCCCATACAAAGGTTATGTTGAAAATCACTAAAATTGCGTTAACCGACTAACATAAAACGTCAGAAACACTAAATAAAGAAATGTCAGATGGAAACTGTATCCAGGTTTTTTTTTTAAATTGAAAATGGGCGTGGCGTCGCCCACTTATGGACCAAAAACCATATCTCAGGAAGTACTCAACCGATTTCAATGAAATTCCGTATATAATATTTTCTTAAYACCSTGWTGACATGTACCAAATATGGGTGAAATCGGTTCACAACCACGCCTGAAATCTCGATTATCACTTTATCATGCGAGAGTATAAAATGTTCGGTGACACCCGAACTTAGCGTTTCCTTACTTCTTCATATTACAATTGTTTGTGAAACTTTAGAATGGTTCGATTGTGGTTAAATAAGCACCGCTTTGTTCGATAACTTTTTGTTATTTTTGAAGTAATTTCATAATGAAACAACCATCGTCCCTATTGGCAAAAAATTGGGACAGTCGATTTTCAGAAGTTACTTTCGAGGCGAGTTTTCCATCAGCAGGAAAAGATCAATAATCACTTGGTGCCAGGTATGTACTTTAAGTTGGATGCATAATAATCACCCAGCTCTTGGGGCTTTTGGGGAGACACAACGTATATCGATGTGTGTGGTCTAGGGTTATTCTGAAATCACACTAGCCGCTGCTAGGCGATTGCTTCCTCCAGACAGTTAAATCGTTGACAGTACATATTTGAAAGTGTAGATGTTGGGGAGCAGCTCATAGCAAATGATTCTCCTTCAATACCACCAAAGACACAGACCGTCCTGTTCGTCAATCATGACCCGCCGTTTGTGCGTTTTATTTCTTCTAAATTATTCCAAACGGTTTTTGTGCAATATTTATCTCCTGGGTAAACGAAGTAGTGCTTATATAATAGCAAGACTCGTACTTCCATCGATATTTTCGACAGAACATTCTGACATCAAAATTACCGGAAGAGATAATTGGCTGTTGCAGTCTCAAGAACATTATCACGATCCACGTTTTCAGCTACCTGCCTTAGATTTTCGTCTTTATCGAAAAACAACTGTAAAGAATGATGCATATTCGCTTCGCTGGATCCTCCAGAACATCCACTAAGATGACATCCGGTACGCAGTGAAGAAAATATCCTAGCTGAGAGTGTACACGAAACCCGTGAAGAGTCGATTCGGCGTCGTTCACAGCAATTCGGACTGACGTATGAAACGACTTCGCGCATTTTAAGTCGAGATCGTAAATTGAAAGGGTACAGAAAACAGCTTGTGCAAGAACTGAAGCCGCTCGACCTTTTCAAGCGAAATCGCTTCGCTCTATGGACTCCTGAAAGCTTCACGAAGATGCAATGTTTTCGAGTCAAATTCTGTTCAGCGATAAGGTACATTTCTGGCTCAATGGGTATGTAAGAAAGCAAAATTGCCACGTTTGGGACAAAGAGCATCTCGAAGAGATTCAAGAGCTACCATTTCATTCAGAAGCAACAAAAGTTTGGTGTGGTTTGTGAGTCGGTGGAAACATCGGTCCATATTTCTTCAAAAATTATGCCGTTGTGAACGTAACCGTCAATGGTAACCATTATCGCGCCATGATAACCGACTATTTGAAGCCTTAAATTGAATCCAATGATTTCAGTGATATTTGGTTTTAACAACTTCCCACACATCGCATCAGTCAATGGATTTATTGAGAGAACACTTCGGTGAGCAGATAATTTCACATTCTGGGTCGGTCGATTGGCCACCAAGATAGTGTGATATCACACGGTTACACTTTTTCCTGTGGGGATATGTAAAGACTATGTGGACAATCCTATTTCGACTCAGGCCTTGGAACGAAACATCACGCTTGTCATTCGCTGGTAACTGGCGAAATGCTCAAACGATTCATCGAAAATTGGACTCGACAGATGGACTATCTGAGACGTAGTCGCGGCCAACATTTTTAAGAGATAATCTTCAAAACATAAACATTTTATATTCTTTTGCGAGATATTGAAAAATTCGCACTTGTTTTAATATTCAAAGTTCGCCATATATTTTTCATCAACTAATCCGTATAGTGCGAGCATTTTACCATCGATGTTGACTTATCTAATGCAATGTGTAATTTTTGAAAAATTCAGCACCAGCTTTGCCAGCTGAAATATGCATGTAACGACAAACACACAC